ACACCAGGGTCTCTAAGGCATCTTTAACTGACTGTGCCTGTCTCTGGGTGCTGATGTGGTTTGATAGCAAGGAGCTGTCCCCTCCCCCACCTCTCCTGCAAACTAAGGAGAAAAAAAAATCTGAAACATCTGTCTTACCCACCTTCCGCCATACCTGACTTCAATCATTTAATTCTTTTGATCACTTTGTCCTAAAATGGTAAAATGAGACTATGCAACTTGAAATAAAACATACACCTTTTTAGGCCAAACAATGACATTAAATTAGATAAAATCTTAAAGGAATGCTAATCTGACACCTGATACATCAAAGTGGAAAGTATGGCCTAAATAGGTGGGGAAAAACTGCATTACTTTTAAATTTCGTAGTATCTTAACATTTATCCCACAAGCATAGACTAACAACAGAATTATGTTAGCCACATTCATTTCTATATTCTTTTTCAAGAGTTCCTCAAGTGGTAAAGAATTAGAAACAATTTACCTTTATGAGATAATAAAAAAAAAAAAACAGACAGAAAAGCACTTCACAAAATATTATACTTTCTGTCTGCTTAATGCTGCAACAAGAAATAAGCACATCATTGTATTTCAGTATGGTGACTCCACCAGCCCTCCTCTACATAGAGTGTGCCATCTTTAAGTTCAGGGATACAAAAACCTTCTGGAAGTACTTGTCAACATAAAGCCACATTATACATTCAATGAAGCAAATATTAACTCCTCTGACATCTATCTAGCACCATACCAGACTTGTGGAATGGATTCCAAACAAAAATACTGATTTTTATGCAAGAACAGGCACAGAAAGTAACATAGAAAAATATGTGGCTTATTAAAAAAATAAAATTCAAAAAACATTCTAGGGTTTTAAGTTTCTCTTTCAATTTAACTTTTCTTCATTTGAAAACCAGAGAGAGAGACACACACAGAGACAGAATTTCCCATGTGTTGCTTCACTCCCCACATCCCTGCAACGACAGCAGCCAAGGCAGGGCCAAAGCAAAAGCCAGGAATAAAATTCTGCCCTCCCAGGTAAGGAGACAAAAACCCAGGGTTGTATTTCAGTGTCATTACCATAACTGAGGAACCTTCCAGGTTGGCTCTTTGGTGCAGTGGTTGGAATGCCACTTGGGACTACAGGTGAAGTGATTAGAATGCAACTGGGTTTAAGTCCCAGCAGCACTTCGAATTTCCGTTTTCTGATAATGTGTGCCCTGGGAGGCAACAGGTAATTGCTCAAGTACTTGGGTCTCTGCCACCCAGGTGGGAGACTCAAACTACAGTCCTGGCTCCCAGTTTTGGCCTGGCCCAGACATAGCTGTTGGTGTACATTTGAGGACTGAACCAAGAGATGGAAGATTCTATTTCTGCCTACCTCTATATCTGTATCTGTCTCTGACAGTGTCTTTGTCTACCTTTCAAATCAGGAAGGGACAGAGGGAAGAAGGGAAGAATAAAGGAAATGAAGAGACTTAACAATAAATTCTTTAAAAATAATAATGTTTTTTGCCTATAGAGTCCAAGTTTTTCAAACACAAATCATCAGTTGCTGGCTTATATGCTTATATTCACTCTACTCCCCTGCAATCAATCTCCTTTCCAAGAGGCTGAACTGACCTAATCTCTGATCCAAGTTAAATTTAACATAACAATGCATGGACAGCAGCTGAGGCACACAGTTCAGGAGACAACTTAAATTGTTTGTAGTAAAATATTGCAGTTAAATTATACTACCACTGATCATTTTGCTTTTCAACAGTGTTTTACAGCACTTGATTTTTTTTTAACTATAAAAGAAACAGAACATAAAGCCATTGTTCCTGGCTGCAACATCCATATGTAATTTCCATGCCATTATTTTCTGGGTGAACTTGAACTGTACCTTGAGAACACTGTGAATAAAACATGAAGGCACTTCAAAAAGTTTGTGGGGAATGTGCATGGATAACACATATTTAAAAGAGAATTTGGGATAATAAGACCAGAACTACAAGGTGTTTAAGGGAGCCTAAATTGAAAATGTGGAAGAAAATTCATCTATAAAAGGATATAGCAATAAAGTTGAAAATAAATGTGAAGACTTTTCATAAAAACAAATCCTTAAGAATTAGCCTACTATAAATCATTTAGTGTAACCTACTAAGAAAAAGTAAAACATTTCTGTGTGAAATGATAATAATTAAACTGGTTTCTTTTACAAAAGTCTGGCCCTTTTTTAACATCACTACTCCCAAGCATTAAAAAAGCAAATGGGGCCAGGCACAGTGGCCTAGCAGCTAAAGTCCTTGCCTTGCAAGCACCAGAATCCCGTATGGGCACCGGTTCTAATCCCAGCAGCCTCACTTCACATACAGCTCCCTGCTTGTGGCCTGGGAAAACAGAAGAGGATGGCCCAAAGCCTTAGGCCCATGTGGGAGACCCAGAAGAGGCTCCAGGCTTCTGGCTTGGGATTGGTTCAGCTCCAGCCATTGCGGCCACTTGGGGAGTCAATCATCGGACAGAAGGTCTTCCTCTCTGTCTCTCCTCTCTGTAAATCTGAATTTCCAATAAAAAATAAAAATAAATCTTAAAAAAAAAGCAAACAAACCAAAAAATAAAACCTACAAGTGATTTGTTCTGACATTATTAATTTCAATGTTTCATATTAATGTAAGCCAAGAACTGAGGCATAAACAGATGAATACAAGTATAAATTGCATTAAACTGGTCTAATTAGGAAAAAATGACTTTCTTTAGTTTACCATTGCCTACACACCTCATAACTATAGATATAAGCAATAGTCTTTCCTCAATTCTGTTTACTGAGCTCACTGTATAAGTTACATTAACTCCCATGGTATTCAGGAAGAAATGGAAAACCTATGTTTTAGAAAACTTGGGAAAGGAAAAAACTAAAATAAATTGTTTTTTATAATTCCTCATGCATTAAGGCACTCTGTGACCTGTTCACATGCCCTCACTCAGAAGACCGGTAAGTTAAAATCATTCCTAATTGAAGGGGAGTGGAATTCTGGAGACTAATTTCTTGTACCAATAGAGAAGCAGTCGAACTGAATCATGGCAATAAGCTTGCACAGTCAGCTATGTTCCCAGCTGAAGCCCATGGTGTACACTTCAAAGCACACAAGAGGGCTGTCTCGACCAGGAGGCTGAGTGGCTGCATGTTCTGGGCCCTGTTTTCCCCACTGGATAGGAAGTTCCCAGGGGAAGCTCACTCAGTGATCTACAACAGCTGAGACAGATGGAAACATTACTGAGAACCAATTCCAAGAAGAAAGTTCAGGAGTTACATACACAGGGAAAAAGTGTTGTTGGTAGCGGATGGCCTCTGTGAATTAAAAAATAACTACAATATTCTAGTTACATTATCTTGTGTTGGCAAGCAAAGAAACTCTAAATTAGAAATGATACTACAGTCAAGTATTTATCCCCAAAGTGAACATTTTTTTGGACTGCATGTCTTATTTAAGCCCACTGCTTTCTTCAGCATTTAAATTATAATTTAACATGGATATCGCTGAACCCATGCACATAAAACTTGAGAGTTTGTATTCCCAGGTAAGCAGGAATGCCAGGAACCTAGGCAATCTTAGAGCCCTTAGAAAAGAAGAAATAGAAATCATAAGCAGAATAGAATTAAAACCAGTAGATTATGAACTCAAGGTATCGAAAGTTAATAATATTTATCCTAATATCTGTCACCTTGACTATAAACATACATAATGCTATTTATTTCACAGAAATCATGTAATAATGAAGACATAAATATACATATGAAAACATCCAAGGAATAAATAAATGTTTTATAAATTATCATAAAAACAAATATGCACACAGCTGATTTAAAAATCCTTAATTTATGCTAAAGGAGAAATAGATATTTTCACATTTTTGTGATTTTTTTTTAATGGATTGAACCAGAACATGAGTGAATTCCCAATGATTCCTCCTTTTAGGAAACATTCTAGAAAATGACTCCATTTCCTGGGGGACATTTCCCATTGCTATGTTTCACTGGGATCAGGCCTCAACAAGGCTGGAGCCAATATCATTTCCCACCTGTTCCCCAACTCTCCAGATAGAAAGTATCCATTGTAAAGACTATACTTCTCCCATATTTCAATTTATACTGTCAATAGACTTTCTCCCTTTCCACTTCACATTCCCATTACTGGGAAGTGGAATGAAGGACAAGAAGATACAAGAGGGAGCGAGAGCAAAGGTGAAAAGAATGTTTGGATGGATGAAGCAAGTAAATATATAAACCTTTCCTCTTTTGTTCTACTGCAATTCACAGGATTTTTTTAATACCAAGATAAAGTCTTTATCTCCTCTCTTGGGTGATGCTTGCATTATTATTTTAGTTGTTAAAATTTACTAAACGACTGTAGCTGGCCAGTTTCTAATCACAATTTGGGGAAAAAAACAATTTGGGGAACACACTTCAAAATTTATGAATCAGTGAAAAATATTTGCAATGACTACACTGAGAAATCAGCACTGCCTAGAAGCGATTTTGTACATCAGTCATGTGTGCACCTATCAGACTGAAGGGGATTAGGCCTAGGGGTGAAGTTGACCTGCCACCCTGGAATGCTTTAAAGGTTAAAAAAAATACGAAGTTGGACTTTAGATTCAAAAGTGTGGTTTAGGGAAATCTCACAATTTATCTGGAAATGAAATGCAATTGTGTTGTGAAACTGATACGGTATGAGTTATCTTACGGTCAAATGATGTAGAGTAGTACATGCACATTTGGTTTATTTTGACTAAATCACCCAGGGCCTATGGGTATGAATGCTGTAACTAAAGACGTTTCAACAACAATCACCTGCCAGTTGCAATGCATTTATCCTAAGTAGTGCTTGAATTAGTAGATTCTTACCAATACTTCCCCATACTTTCTAAGCAGTTAGTTCTTTGTAATTGAGGGGAATGTAGATGGGCGAGAAAGAAAGCCAGAGTTGAGAAACCAAGTGTGGGTTTATATTACTCACGGCTCTGCTTGCAGGCTTCTGTCCTCTGCCACATAGTTAGAAGGAATATAGCCCTGCAGCTGCTGGCCGAAGCCATCTGCCCGTTTTTCCAAATGTCTGGCCAACCACCAGCCCTCATGGGAAGTGTCCAAGACTTGGAGCTTGTCGCCAGCACGGAAGCTGAGGTCCTCTGCAGTTCGAGCTTGGTAATCAAACAGAGCCACATAGTATTTGCCATGGCTTCTCTCGGGCTCCTTCTTTTGTGGCCGAGGGATTTCTGGGGAGAAACGAGCTCCTGGATTCTCAATCACCACTGGCTTGTCCTCTTCCCGGGACAAGCAGGGAAGACAGGGCTCTAAGTATTCCCAGAGCCTTAGAACCACGTTGCCCATTGTGCCCAGGTGGAGGTTAAGGGAGAGGATCTTCTCCCTCTCCTCTCAGTCTAGGTAGATCCACTTTTTATTCTTCCTCATCAGCACCACCTTCCCACACTTTGAGGGTATTCAAAGTTCTTTCCAACAGAGTCCAGCAGATGTGGCTACAGCAAGCTTTCCCTAGAGAGCCACCAGCCACCACTTGATTTTTGTGACAGTGGCTGTTGCCCCACAGCCAAATGGTGGGAGCCGGCAACTGCTCTGTAGAAAATGCCTTTGCTTCTTACCTGCTTAGGAATCCCACAGCAAAAAATCAATACAAGTAAGAAGGCTTTGCATAGGAAAACACTGCAGAACAGAAAACAGCCATCTTGCCTTTTGTCCCAAGAAAAAGTTAACAGGAGAAAGATGCAGACGCCCAATAAAACTGCCACAGCTTGCCTTTGCAAGGAGTCTGCTGCTTCTGCGCCTGGTGTTTGACCCGTCTTGATCCGGATTGCTCTTTCCTCCTTGCTAATGAATAACCAAGCAGCCCAAGCTATTGCCTTTAACATGCTGAACTATGTGCAGACTGTAACAACTGCCCTTTACTTCCTGGTTTCTGTTTGTCTGATCTAAATGGGATTCCCGTCCTCTTCACCCCTCCCTTTTCCCACACCCAAGACAGACAGCCCCCTTAAAGGGGAGCCAAAGTGTTAAACTAGCTGTCAAAACCCGTATTCATTTCATTTCATGTTGTGTAAACAAGCCAGCCCGGGTACCTGCCTCACAAACGTTCCCAAGACCAAAATTCCGGGCAGGGATACACACCTCCCCCACCCCCTACACACACAAATGTGAGTAGGATTGCTTTGCCATCACTACAGGAAATGCAAACGACAAATAGCACTATTTAGGTGTTTGTTGCCAGACACAGGGCAACTGAGAATGAACCACCGAGTCCCTGCTTTTGTTCATCGCTAGGTATGGATTTTGACAGTCTCAAAGAACATTCTGAAAAACTATGAAAGCAGCTGATGAAAACGCTGAGAACCTGAAACACTGCCTTTTCCCACATTTAATTTCCCATCCATGAAATACTATTTCTCTCTCTCTCTCACTCACATTCTCTCTCTCATATGCACACACAGTAACTGAGAAAAGGTAGAAGGGGTCTTTAAGTGCTGCTGCAGAAGCTGCACAAGTCTGTGCTAGTTGCTACTTGTTGGTAGCAGTTCTGGAATGAACTAGACTGCAATCAGGACAGCCAAACAGACAGAAAAGGGGGGATTTTGCTCCCCTTCCCTTAATTTGAGACCTCTGTCTCACAAGTCTGGCCCTGGATCACAAGTCTGGACAGATGAATGCACTGCCATTTGGACCAGCTGAAAGCACTGCATCATTGTTTATGACTTGTCACTTGTTCTTTGTATATTATTTTTAAATTTCCATCTAGGAAGGATGCTTGCACTGGGTGGCTTGTGCTTTCTGATGGTGGCTGTGCTGCTCTCTGGTTAGAGCATGTAGTTGGTGACCAAGGCCTCTGGTCTGAGATAAACCATACTCCCAGTAGGTGCTGAGCCTGACCCATAGGCGGTCACTGACCATGGCTGCGACCAGATGTGCAAGCTACTACGTTTAGCTAGCTGAGACATGAAGCCTCAAGTAAAGCAAGGTTTTCATGTCTACCAAAATTTGCCTTTAGTCGTGACTGCTACAGACCAAGATGACAAGAACCTATGTTAATATTGTACATAAACACTACTACTCAGAAAGAACAAGAGACAATCATGCCCTTGTATCTCCAGGCCTTGGAGGATCTCCTTACAGAGAAATCAAAATCAGTCAAGTTAACGATTTACTAGATGGTCTAGCTAAACAAAGTAAACAAAAATAATGTAAATGACTTGACATTCTGAAATCTGATTGTTGTTTATAACCCTTGTTTTTATAGCTGAGGAACAATATTTTTTCTATTGAATTCGCTGTTCAACAGAGGATTAAGTTTATGAATATAAAATAAATGGAAAGTATGTCACTGCAAACATTAAGAGAAATAAAAAGGAAGTAGGAGGGTGGGAGAGCAGGAAGCAGGAAGGGAAGAGTGGGAAGTATCATTTTAAAAATCAATTATTTCATTTGTGTGAAAGTCAAAGTTATAAAAAGAGAGAGACAGAGAGAGAGGAAAAGAGAGAGAGAAGGAGACAGGGAGAGAAAGAGAGGAGATAGGAAGAGGCCTTTCATCTGCTGGCTCACTCCTTCAATGGCTGCATTGGCCAGGCTGAAGCCAGGAGCCACCAACTTCTTCTAAATTTCCCACATGGGTGACAGGGGCCCAATCATCTCAGCTACCTTAAAAAGCTTTCCCAAGATCATTAGCAGGGGCTGGATCAGAAGGGAAGCAGCTGGAACCAAAACCAGAGCCCAAATGCGCTTCTGGCCTTGCCAGCAGCAGCTTAATATACTATCCTACAAAGCCAATCAGTCCTTGTTCTTTATACACGAAATATGTGAAATAGGCTACCTTTGATTAATTTTTATTGGGGAAAAAAAGCAAAGTAACTGTGATACATTTGTAGTCCATAGTAGTTTATGTGATTATAATTTTTATAACAAAATGCCTAGATAACCCCAACCTAGCTAACCTAGTTAGGACAATTTCAAAATCCCTGTTTTTGTCAAGCTAAAAGGCATTTTCAGTAACCAGAATAACTAAACTCAAGGAGAGAAAGAAAGGAAAAGAGGGAGCGAGCAGAGGAGGCAGGAAAGGAGGAAAGAGGAAGGCCAGAGCATCATAGTCTTAACCCCAGCTACTGTTACCTTTGGTTGAAAGCAGAACCATTTGTGGGCAGATTATATGGGTAGAATCAAGCTTCTCCAGTGGCAGTCACAGCAATAATAACAATTTGGCAGCAATAAGAAATCTGAAGATTAACATGTTCAAAATCCCATATTTTAGGCACAAGAGACAATCATAACCATGTAATATTGATAGATCATGAAGAATACATTGTTCCTAATACAATATTAATTATAAAGGTCTGGGCTTCTGCCAGTGCTCCAAAGTGGAGGCACAGATGCTGACATCTTTTTGAGACATCTACAAGTAGAAGATGCAAATTTGCAAGCAACCAGACATGGGTTCAAACCCAAATGTGAGGAGGGTTTGAGATTTGAAAATTCTGAAGGTTGTAAATTCAAAGAAGCCTTCACAATCGTTGTCACAAGATACTCCGAAAAAAAGACAAAGCAGCAAACCTGCACAGTGCAGTCACTGAGCAGGCAAATGAAATTGAAAACGCGGCCAACCATCCAAAGATGTCAGGGGAGCAGCGGCCTGCGAGACCGAGCCATCGGGTGGGGAAGCAAAGGGCTTCATGGGGTCAATAGCTGCAGAACTCTCCGTCACCCAAGCTTGAAGCCTTGTAGTTATCTTATCCTTGCTCACAGGTTTCCATGACTAATCAATCAATAAATTCTGCTCAGTCTCCCTTCTCATTCATTCCACAAACTATTTTTTAATCCCTTTTGATTGACAACTGGACATTACAAAGAAAACAAAACATCCTACATTTTTTTTAAAGATTTATTTTTATTTTTTTATTAGAAAGTCAGACATATAGAGAGGAGGAGAGACAGAGAGCACGATCCTCTGTCCCATGATTCACTCCCCAAGTGACCACAATGTCTGGAGCTGAGCCAATCCGAAACTAGGAGTCTCTTCTGGGTATCCCACATGGGTGCAGGGTCCCAAGGCCTTGGGCCATCCTTGATTGCTTTCCCAGGCCACAAGCAGGGAGCTAGATGGGAAGGGGGCAGACAGGATAATAACTGGGGCCCATATCGGATCCAGGCACATGCATGGTGAAGAATTTAGCTGCTAGGCTACCGTGCTGGGCCCAATATCCTACATTTTTTATAGCGATCTCCTAACTGGTTTCCCAGCATCAACGTTATTCCCATCTAGGACTCATCATTTATACCAAAATGAGTGGTGTTTACAGGGTTTGTAAAGTGGCTTTTAAAAAGAGATTTATTTACTTTTATTTGAAAGGCACGTTTACAAAGAGGAGAGATAGTAAGAAAGGTCTTTCTTAGGCTGGTTCATTCTTCCTCAAATAGCCATTGTCCAGTTGTAGTTGAGCCAATACCATGAACTAGGAGCTTCTGAATCTGAATCTCTTAGTTGGGTGCAGGGACCCAAGGACTTGAGTCACCCTCAACTACTTTCCCAAGATATAAGCAGAGATCTGAATTGGAAGTGGCTGACTGGGACATAAGCAGGTGCCCATATGAGATGCAAGGTGCTGCAGGTGGGGGATTAGCTTGATACACCACCACACCAGACCCTAAAATGGCTTTTAAAATAGTAGTCATGAGGTGATATGATACTAGAAAGAGTAGCTCTCTGTGTTTTTTTAGAGGGCTTTCCATGTGCCAGGATGCTAAAAGTGATATATTATTTAAATCACACAAAGTATCAAATAATACCTATGGAAAAAGGCAGGTAAATTTTTACTTTACTTTGTTTTGTTTTTAGTTTTAAAAAGGATTGGGGTATAGTAAGCTTAGCCTCCACATTTGTCATTGTTATCCCATATAGGCAGTGATTCATGCCCCAGCAGCTCTACTTCCAATCCAGCTCCCTGCTTGTGGCTTGGAAAAATAGCCAAAGATATCTCAAGTCCTTGGGGCCCTGTACCTACATAGGAGACCAGGAGGAAAATCCAGCTCCTGGCTTTGACTTGAGCCAGCTCCAGTCGTTGTGGCCATTTTGGGGCATGATCTAGCAGATGGAAGATTCTCTCTCTCCTTCTCTTACTTTCTCTCCCTCCCCCTCTCTCTCTCACTTTCTCTTCCTCCCTCCCTCCTTGTTTCTATTTCTCCTTCTCTCTGCATTTCAAATAAAAATAAAATAAACCTTTAAAAAAAGAAACTAAAGAGTTTACATAATTTGCTCAACTTCACACAAACTAAGAGGTTAAATTATAAATAATACCATGGACTCAATCTGACTCCTGAGATTGCAAATCCTCATT